CCTTCACCTATCTGTGCGCTGGTGTGCACTTCAAGGGTACTTCAGAAGGTGTTAGATTCACTTGGAAACTAAGTGGTTTTCTTTTTTTTTTTTTCTTCTTTTTAAAAAAGATATGCATAGGACCAGCAGGTGACATGGTTAAGGTGCTAGATTCCTGGATGGCTGACCACAGTTCAAGTCCTGGACCCAACTGCTTGAAAATAACATTAAAAAAATTATTTAATGTTATTTATTCATTCATTCATTTAAATTTGAGCAGAGATGGGGAGAGAGAGAGAAAGAGAGAAAGTAAGAAAGCAAACCACCAGGTGCAGGGCTCAAACCATGATCAGCCATGTGGGAATCCAGCACCCTTTACCTGCCACCTGCCGGCCCCAATAAATAATTAAAAAAAAAAAAAAAAAAAAAAAAAAAAAGAAGAAGAAAAAGAAAGAAAAAGAAAGAAAGATGCGTAATAGTACAGGGAGTTCAGTAGTTAGCATAATGGCTATGTTGCTGGACTCCCATGTAGCTGACCGCAGTTTGAGTCCTGAACCCGGTGACTTAAACTCATGCTGGGCGCGTGTGCATGCGTGCCCAAGATCCCAAGGGATCTTGGAGGAGAAGGGATTGCAGCGTGGCTATCCTCCCTGGGAGGTGATTTCTGTCTCTCTGTCTCTCTCTGTCTTTCTGGCAAGCGCACACGCCCTAGAGCAAAATTAAAATTAAAAAAAAAAAAATAGTACCAGCAAGCAGCATGCTGGTTAAGGCTGCTGGATCCCACATGGCTGGCTGCATGAGCTGAGTCTCGAACCCAGCAGCTTGAAAAACACACCAGGTGCATGTATGCGTGCTTGCCCAAGATCCTGAGAAGAGATGGAGGAGAAGAGATTGCGGCATGGTCATCCCCTCAAGGGGTGATTTCTCACTTTCCCTCTATCTGTCTGTCTCCAGTGAGCACACATGCCCTATGATAAAAACCTAATAAATATTGGGTATGTATGTACATATATGTACATGCAATATGTGTATATACAATATATGTATGTACATCACAGAATACGTGGCAAAAGACGTGTAGCACCATTTACCATTTTAACTATTCTAAGTATCCGATTCAGAAGCATTCGGTTTGACAGTGTTTGCAGTCATCACCACTGTCCCTTTCCAGAATTGTCTGATCATTCCAAACCGAAACTGCACCCACGAAGCAGCAGCTCTCCATTCCCTCCCCCAGTCCTTGGTAACCTCTGTCTGACTCCCCGTCTCTGTGAATGCGCCTAGCCTGAGCCCTAGTGTAAATGGTGCCATTGAGCCTCTGTCGTTTTCTGTCTGACTTGTTTCACTTGCTAGCCAGTATCTTTTTGTTTTGTTAGTTTTTCTGTAGGCCGTGTGTACTCGCTGGAGAAAGAGGAGAAAGAGGAGAGAGAGGAGGAAGATGAGAAAGCACCCCGGTGGTGGGGATGGCCATGCCTCAGTCCCTTCCCCATTCTCCTTTTGGGTTTTGGGCACGCGAGCACCTGGTGTGTTTTTCAGTCCACGTGGTCCAGGACAGGAACCGCACGTTCATCCATGTGGGATCCAGCCAACCTAACCACCAAGCCACGTGACTGGCCTGCTAGCCATTACACCAAAGAGAGAGCGAAAGTGAGGAGGTGACCACACCACAATCCCTTTTTCTGCTCTTTGGATTTGGGGCATGCATACACACATGCTTGCTAGCCAGTATCTTTTAACTCATCTCTCCTCTCAAGTTAGCCAGAGCTAAGTGGTTTTTTTAATTGGCTCAGGGGCAGTGTTCTGACAGTGAGATTACCCAGGGCTCAGCTTGCCTGCAACTTCACATGAGCAGATCACAGGGAGCACAGAGGTTCTAAAGGCCTCCTCCCAAAAACAGTACCTGGTTCAGTGCCCATGCCCTGAGGAGGATGCAGTATAAATGCATTTTTAAAATAGCAAGTTAGAATGAGAGAGAGGAGCTACTATATGCAGGCTCACTAACAGAAATGATGACAAGGAAGATGGACGGGGTGGAGCGGGGGTTCTCTCAAAAAGTTCGTGGAAAGGGGCCAGCCTATGGTTAAAACACTGGACTCCCACATGGCAGCCTGCAGTTCAAGTCCCAGACCTGACAGCTTACTTTCTAACTCCCCCCCTGCCTCGTGAGTGCACATGACCTGTAACAAAATTTTAAAGATAATGATGATTGAGGTCCAGCAGGTGTCATGGTGGTTAAGGCTCTGGACACTCTCACTTGGCCGACCACGGTTCCAGTCCTGGACCTGGTAGCTTGCTTTCCTTCTCTCTTTGTGTCTCTCTCTGGTCAAATTAAAATGAATGAATAAAATGAAATAATTTTTAAAAATAATTATGATCAATAAAATTAAATAACTCTTTAAAATAAAAAGTTCATGGAAGGGACTGGCAAGTGGCATGGTGGTTGTGATGCTGGACTCCCACGACCACGGTTCCAGTCCTGGACCTGGTAGCTTGCTTTCCTTCTCTCTTTGTGTCTCTCTCTGGTCAAATTAAAATGAATGAATAAAATGAAATAATTTTTAAAAATAATTATGATCAATAAAATTAAATAACTCTTTAAAATAAAAAGTTCATGGAAGGGACTGGCAAGTGGCATGGTGGTTGTGATGCTGGACTCCCACGTGGCTGACGGGGACTGGCAAGTGGCATGGTGGCCGTGATGCTGGACTCCCACGTGGCTGACCGTGGTTCAAGTTCAGACCTGGTAGCTCGCTTTCTCACTTGCCCTTTCTTTCTCTCTTTGTATCTCTCTGGTCAAATTAAAACAAAAAATAATAATAAATAAAGTTAAATATTTTTTTAAAGTTCATGGAAAACGTGTATTATGAAACAGACATGGCGGCCAGCAGGTAGCATGGAGGCTAAGGCACCGGATCCCACATGGCCACCACAGTTTGAGTCCCAGACCCGGTGACTTGAAACTCGGTGCCAGTCACACGTATGTACATGTCCAAATCCCAGGACGAGAATGGAGAAGGGATTGCAGAGTGGCCTTCCCCCCCGGGGGGGGGGTAATTCCTCATTTTCCGGGGGGGGGGTGATTTCTCACTTTCCTTCTCACTGTCTCTTGTCTCTCTGGTGAGTGCATATGCCCTATGCACTTAAAATAATAACATTTTTTTTTTAAAAAAGCATTAATTTTAAATACTTTGCACCAAAATTAATGTATACTTTTAGTTTTTGCTGTAGGGCGTGTGTGCTCTCCGGAGAAAGACAGAGAGAGAGCGGAGAGGGGGAGAAAGTGGGAAACCGTCCTTAGCAGGGATGACAGTGCTGCAGCCCCTTCTCCATTCTCCTCTTGGGATTTTAGGCACGCACACATTTGTGCCCAGTGTATTTATTTTATTGAACTCTAATTAATTAATTAATTTACTGTTTTAACTTGACCAGAAAGGAACAGAGTGAGAGAAAGAGCGAGGGAAAGTGAGAAAGCAAGCTTCTAGGTCCAGGACTTGAACCTTGGTCAGCCTTGTGGGAGTCCAACGCCCTTAACCACCACACCACCTGCTGGCTCCCATGCCCGGTGTACTTTTTAAGCTGCCAGGTCCGGGATTTGAACTGCGCAGTCAGCCATGTGGAATCCAGCCACCTTAACCATAATGCCACCTGTCAGCCTTAAAGTCATATTTTAATTCTATTTTTACACAAATTTTTTGAGGTCCTCTTGTAGCTTAATAGAACTGATACTCAAAATGCTAACTTTGTGTCATTCACTCATTCATTCAACAAACAGCATGAATCCAGGCAGTGTACAAAGCATGTGGAAACTGACAGTAATGCTGGGTGCTTATCATTAAAAGGCTACATTATGATCATTATTCTTTTTTTTTTTTTGAGAGAGAGAGAGAGAGATTTGTGCTTTAGGGCACTTGTGCTCACCGGAGAGACAGAGACAAAAAGTGGAAAATTACCCCCTGAGGGGGCGTTGGCACGCTATAATCCCTTCTCCATTCTCCTCTTGGGATTTTGGGCATGCATGCACATGCACCTGGCATGAGTTTTAAGCCACTGGGCATGGGACTCGAACCATGGCCAGCTATGTAGAAGTCCAGCAATGTAACCATCACACCATCTACTGGTCTCTACGATCATTATTCTTTAAGAGATCAATACTTCTCCCAGCGTTGTTTTTGTTTGGTTTTGTTTTTTACGTTTTGGTGCATAAAAAGGTTAGCACTCAGTCACTTTGCTATCATCCTCTGACCAGAATTTGGGGAAAGGGTGTGCATGAGTTCCACATTTACAAAAGGAACCCATTTGTCACTGACTGCCGTCATTGGCATGTGAATACCAAAGGCGGTATCCTCCCTTTCGCTGCTGGTACCCAGATATTCATGCTTAGTGGAGAGAATGTTTGGAATAGAACAAAGACAATGGGATAGTGTTTAAATATAAAGCATCTTGGGCCAGCCGGGTGGCATGGTGGTTAAGTCAGCTGATCCCACATAGTGGCTACGCAGTTCAAGTCTTGGACCTGGCAGGTTGAAAATCACTCTGTGCATGTGTGTGTGCAAATTCCGAAGAGGAGAATCGAGAAGAAGGGATTGCAGTGTGGCCATCACCCCTGGGGTGCTTTCTCAGTTTCCTCCTTTCCTCACTCTCTCCAGCAAGCACACGCACTCTACAGCAAACTAATGATACACATATAATTTATTTGCACATTAATTTATATATGTGGTATATATATTATATAAGTATGAGCAAATAGGCTTTCATTTTTGTGGTTTTGTTTCCGTTGGGGAAGGGGTGGGGAACGGGGGTGCACGTGTGATGTAGTTGAAACCTGAGAGGGTGTAGCTCACTGTGTGCACATTCCCCAGGGCATTGAATTAGTCGCTGTGGCATAGGCTGAGTGCCTGGGGTGACACGGACCCAACCAGGACAGCCCGCTGCCTTTTCTAACCCACACTCCTGGGGTCCCGCCTCCCCTCAGTCTCTGCCCTCGCTGATCCGCTCCTTCCCCTCGCCCCCTCTGCCTGCAGCACCCTGTCCAAGTGCTGCCACGCGACGGTGGCCCTCATCTACCCCTTCACCTGGCAGCACACCTACATCCCCGTGCTGCCGCCCGCCATGGTGGACATCGTGTGCTCGCCCACCCCCTTCCTCATCGGGCTGCTGTCCAGCTCGCTGCCGCTGCTCAGGGAGCTGCCGTTGGAGGAGGTAAGAGTCCCTGCCTCCCTGCCTCCCTGCCGTGGGGTGCAGAGCAGCGGGGAAGGCTGGCTCACCTCCGTCAGCAGTGGGAGCCCTGCTTCGAGCCAGTGGTGCCAGGAGAGCAGGACACCCGGCTGCATCTGAGAGGGTCCTCCTGGGGCCCCTTGGGAGCTGCAAGCATGTGAAATGACTCACCCATCCAGGGCAGCGGTGGTCCTTAGCCAGTATCAGCCCTTGTAAGCCCTCTGTAGCCTTCTCCCTTCCCACTGCCCCGCCCCAAGGGAGGACAGCTGGGAAGGAGCTGCGAGGACTGGGCTCCGTGTCTGCACACCTCAGTGCTGGCAAGGACTGTGTGCCTACAGAGGGCCTTCTCGTGGCAAGGAAGGAGACAACCCCAGGTGTCGGCGGTGGTCAAGTACTGGCTTTCACTGCAGCATCCAAGGGGGCAGTCCCATGGGGCATTTGGGTGGATGCGATGAGTCCAGCAGGATGGGAACAGTGGGGTTGCCCAGTGTCTTTGCCTCCTCCCGCAGTCCGAGACGCTCTGCCTCACCGCAGCACAGGGCCCACTTCAGCTGCAGCGCACATGCCCAGGCCTGCGGGCTCGGTGCTGAAAGCGTGCGCCTCGGGAAGCCCCTGCCCCAGTCTCCACGCTTCCTCATCTGCGGCTATGGTGGCAGTGTCAGGAAACCACAAGTGCCCCCCTCATACCCACCCCAGCCGCCTCCCAGGGCCCAAGAAGGAAGGTTAAGCACCCCTCTCGGTCTCAAAAGCCCCAGTGGCAATAACAGTCCCTTTCCTCTCGTCTTGCAGGTCCTTGTGGTCGACCTCGTCAACAGCCGGTTCCTCAGACAGGTGAGGAGGAAGGCCGGGTTCAACCCACTGCGGCCTTCGTTTTCACCTCTGTGATGTTTGGGGCTCAGCTTTCCAGCACTTGGTAGGCCTGGGTCTGCCAAACAGGCTGGTGGCGTTGGGTGACCCCGGCCCAGGGCTGGCCTGAGGATAAGGCAGAAGGGGAGTTTTGGCAAAGAACTGATTTCCCATGGTCTGACACAAAAGGGATTTCTAGTTTCTTTTCTTTTTTAAAAGTTCATTTATCAGTTCCATGGGTGAGAAAAACATAGAGAAAGCGAAAGAGAGGCAGCCCCCGGCTCAGCCAGCTCTGGACCACGGGCAGCGCATGCCTTTGCCTTCCCACGGTCAGCCTTGCAGGGCGTCGCCTCCCACTGCTGTACTCCTGGCCCCACAAAAAGGTTTTCTAAAACTTGGGAGTTTTGTGTAGCTTATAACTAAAAGCTCTTATCTTTTCTTAAGAATAATTTTATTTAACTTTATTTATTCACTACCTGCTGGTCCCAAAGCTTTTATCTTTTTCAATATACTTTTAAAGACTATTTGAGGGAAACAGGTGGCATGGTGATTAAAGCGCTGGACTCCCACGTGCTCGACCATGGTCTGAGTCCCAGGCCCAGTGGCTTGAAACTCACACCAGGCACAGGTATATGTGTACCCAAAATCCGGAGAGGAAAATGAAGGAGAAAAGATTGTGGCGTGGCCATCCCTCACCTCCCCGCCGGGGCGGGAGGGGGGGTTTCACCTTCTGTCTCTGGCGAGTGCACACACCCTATAAACAAAAATCTCTCCAAAAAAAGAAGGAAAAAGAATATTTGATAACAAAGTTTATGATATAAGATTAAGTGGAAAAAAATCAGGCCACAAAATTATATACATTATTTTGTTGATTTTACTTTTTGTAAGGGAAGACAGGCCCAGCCTTAGTGGCACAGATGGTAACATGCTGAACTGTGGTGCTGGAAGTCACGTGGCCGACAGCAGGTTTGGATCCCAAGTCAACGTGAAAATACTCCAAGGTGCTGTTGAGCTGGAGAGCTGGGGGAAGGAGATCATGGAATGATGAGACCCTGCTGAGGACGCGTTTCTCAATCTGTCGTTCATGCACATGTGCACACACTTCTTTCATAAACAAAACATAGATGAACTTTAAAAAACAGAGAAAAAGAAAAATATATATATTTATCCCTCTCATAAAGAAGGACGGAAAAACTCAGCAAAACCTTAGGGCCGGTTGTCTTGGAGAGGAAGACTGACAGAGGACAGGTTATGAGTGCATTTAAACTGCTTTAATACTTCCATGGGGTTGTTTTTCCCCCTTAAGGTTTTGCGATAGGATACACACACTTGGCAGAGAGAGACAGAGAGGGAAAGTGGGAAATCACTCCCCAGGGGGAATGGCCATGCCACAGTCCCTTCTCCAGTCTCCTCTTGGGATTTTGGCAGGCACAACACACGCCATGAACATGCACTTGGCATGATTTTCAAGCCACCAGGTCTGGGCTCAAACCACAGTCAGCAATGTGGGAGTCCAGAGCCTTAACCACCACGCAACCTAGTGGCCCCAAACTTTCATGTACTTTTTATAATGATCGTAAGTTACTTTTATTATCAGAGACAGTAATACACACATACTTTCTGTTTATCATTAGGCAGAGGGGCTAACTCCTATCAGATCTCGCAGAGAGTAGTGACAGGAGGTTTGCTGGCATCCCAGTGGATTGCTTCTGCATCCGAGTTGCCATGGCGCCCGAAAGTTCAGTGGTGTTAAGGCTGGTTTCCATTACTTTCACTTCCCAACGGCCCACAGAGTAGAACCTTCCTAAGGCTCTCTAGCCCCAAAGCCCAGACAGTAGAGCCAGCTTGGGATCATCATGGTCATCTGTCATGGCCTAAGTCCCCAGTTAGTCCAGGCTGTTGTAACGGGACATGGGGGGTTGGGGGACAGCAGAAAAATCTATTCAGTATTCACTAAATGCCAAACGTCCATGAGATAATTGTATTGCATATAATCTTCACAATGAGGTTGGATATTGATTGGTGGCCCATGGGGAAACTAAGGCTCACACGCCTTATAAAATTAGAATGGATGAGACCAGCAGTTAGCATAGTGGCTATGTCGCTGGACTCCCATGTAGTCAACCACGGTTCGCGTCCCGGACCCAGTGGCTTAAAACTCACGCTGGGCGCGTGTACGTGCGTGCCCAAGATCCCAAGTGGAGAACAGAGGAGAAGAGATTGCGGCATGGCCATCCCCCCTGGGGCTCTGTCTCTCTCTGTCTGGCAAGTGCAAGCGCCCTATAGCAAAAAAAAAAAAAAACAATTAGAATGGAGATCCAAACCTTGGGGCTGGTGGGTGGCAACATGGTTGAGGCGCTGGACTCCCACATAGCTGTGGTTTGAGTCCCCAGCCTGTCAGCTTACTATCTCACTTTCCCTCTCTCTCTCTCTCTCTCTCTCTCTCTCTGTGTGAGTGTACCTGGTGAAATTTAAAAAATAAGAATGATGATGATAATGAATAAAATTAAATAAAATCATTCTTAAAAGAAAAAAAAAGATTCAAACCTCAGGCCATTGGCTCTAAATCATGTTCCCTCCACGAAACTGGGAATTAAGCAGGCCAGTCCTCTGGCATGTCCTGTAGGTCAGGTGCAGCCCTGTCCCACCTACTGCCTCTGTTTTACAGATGGAGGATGAGGATTCCATCCTGCCCCGGAAGCTTCAGATAGCCCTGGAACACATCCTGGAACAGAGGAATGACCTGGCTTGTGACCACGATGAAGGCCCTCTGGACTGCAAGCACAGTCAGTGCCCGCCACCTCCCAGGCTGCATCTCCCTGCCCACCCTCAGGGTCAGGAGCGTGTGCACAGTGGCTGGCCATTCCTCACGGCACAGGGCCACGTCAAAAAATGGGCAAGGATGGGACCAGCAGTTAGCGTAATGGCTATGTCACTGGACTCCCATGTAGTCGACCGTGGTTCGCGTCCTGGACCCGGTGACTTAAAACTCACGCTGGGTGCATGTGCGTGAGTGCCCAAGATCCAGAGCAGAGAATGGAGGAGAAGGGATTGTGGCGTGGCCATCCCCCCTGGGGGGTGACTTCTTGTTTTCTACCTCTCTGTCTCTCTCTGTCTGTCTGGTGAGCGTGTGCACCCTATAGCGAAAACCTCTCCAAAAAAAAAAAAAAGAAGAAAGAAAAAGAAAAGAAAATAAGAAAATGGGCAAGGGTGACATACGAGGAGAAGCTGGAGTTCCTTTGTCTGCATTCTGTTCTATGATAAATTGTGGGAAATTTCCACATCCCCCATTATGACCCTAAAATAGCTATTTAAGGAGAAAGAGAAATGACTTACTAATGCAGGGTGGTCTTTTTCCTGAATAACCAGTTTGCCATCAGGGGAAGTGGCAGTCACTTTGATTACTACCTGGCTTGTCCCGCCCTGGCTCAGTTGTCAGTCCTCACCTTTCCTGGCCTCCCCCCCCCCCCCCCCCCCCGCCCTGAGTCCAGTCAGCTGAACGATGTGGTGTCTGAGGCCTTCGTCCGCTTCTTTGTGGAGATTGTGGGCCACTACTCCTTGTTCCTGACATCAGGCGAACGCGAGGAGAGGACCCTGCAGCGAGAGGCCTTCCGCAAAGCTGTCTCCTCCAAGAGTCTCCGTCGCTTCCTGGAGGTCTTCATGGAAACCCAGATGTTCCGGGGCTTCATCCAGGAGCGGGAGCTACGCCGGCAGGATGCCAAGGGTTAGGGGGTCTTCCATGTTGGGCTGAGTAAGCTGTAGATGCCAGCATCACAAGTAGCCAGTGGGCAGGAGGAAGGCCTCCGGGTCAGGGCACAAGGAGAACAGTGCCCCGCCTCCCTGGAGAGCTGCAGTGTGCCACATCTGAGCTGGTGACAACAGCCCCTCCCCTGGCTTCTTTCCTCTCTCCCAGCCTCTGCCAGGACCACATTCCAGTGTCTGTGCTAAGGCTCCTTATGTTCCATCCTTTCCAACTTAATGAAACTCTCAGGAACGCTCTTTCCTTTCTCTCTCTGTTGCCTCTTCTCTTCCTCAGGCTGCTCTGCTTTTCCTCTGGCCCCCCTTCCACAGATTGCATGCCCAGAGGGCAAGGTGGGTTTGCTGTTGTGCTGCTGACAAATACCTAAGAGACTGGGTGAGTTATGAAAAAGAGAGGAATATATATGTATATATTTAAACACAGAGGTTTATTTGACTCACAATCCAGCTGGAACATCTGAAGGCACGGGGCTGGCATCTGGCCAGCCTCCATCACAGTATGGCCGACAGAAGCAGAGGCCAGAAGGCGCCTGCAGAGAGAGGCCTGGGGCAGCCACCTTCCTTTTATCAAGACCCTTTCAAGAGAGAACCAATCCCTTCTCCCTGGGTCGTGCAGATAGCATTAACCCATTCATTTGAACAATGCCTTCATGATCCAGTCTCTGCCCACTAGACCTCAGCCATTATGGGTCTCACCACCTCTCCAACGCCATTATGCTGGGGACCAGATTCCTAAATGTAAACTCTGGGGGTCACACCATTATCCGAACCATAGCAGGGAGGAAGGGAGTGGCCAGAGCACCCTTCCCCTGTGTAAGCACCTGCCTGCACGGGTGCAGGGGGCAGGGAGCAGAGTGGTGTCCCCCGGACCTGCAAGCTCCCAATTCCTTCCACACCCTCTGCTCACTGTTCTCTGAGCTCTTCTTTGCTCTCCTGCCACCGCTCTGTCTGTCTGCCTAGACTCCAACATACCTCCAGGGATGGGGGAAGGGAGAGGACTGAGAAGAGAGGAGAGAGACGTCACTTTGGTCTCTTTCTAACATCATCCTAAGCCCTTTTGGAAATCTGAAATCAGAAATGTTGGAAAAGTGTGTTACTGACGAGAGTTAAGGCTGTGCTGGGGAATGGGACTTGCCACTGAGGAGGGCTGTACGGACACCTGGAGGGAGGTTCAGCTGAGCACCTGGCCCCGCCTCGGGGCCATGAACTGCGTCTGAGTTACCCAAAGCCCGACACTCCAGAGCACCCTGCAAAATAAGGACAGAGCGTGCCATAGTTCAGGTGACTCTGATAAAGGGTACCTGAGGGGACCCAGGAAGGCTACACCTGGTGAAAGGATTCTTTCTAGTACATCTGCTGGGCCCAGTTAAAAATTTGTTTACAGGGGCCGGCAGGTGGCATGGTAGTTAAGGCGCTGGCAGTTATGGTTCGAGTCCCAGACCTGGCAGCTTGCTTTCTCACTTTCCCTTTCTCTCTCTCTCTCTGGTCAAATTAAGAAATAATAGTAATAAATAATTCTTTACAAATACGTTTACCAGGGGCCAGACGTGGTGTAGCATTAGCACAAGGCCCTGTGATACAGAGGTTCCAGGTTCAGGTCCCCAGGCCTCCTTGTGCATGCCAGGCGCACACATGCATGTCTGTGATCAAGGCTGGCTGAGGCCAGGAATAGATCACAGTACGAGGACCGTGTTGGGGGAACCTCTCTCTCTCTGTTTCATGTAAGATATAAAACTGTTAAAAAATGTGTCTGGGGCCAGCAGGTGGTGTGGTGGTTAAGGCACTGGATTCCCCATGGCTGACTGCATAGCTCAAGTCCTGGACGCAGCATCTCGAATAACATCTGGGTGTATGCGTGTGTGCCCGGGATCCAGAGAGGAACATGGAAGAGAAGGGATTGTGGCATGCCATCTCCCCCAGGGGTTTATTTCTCACTTTCCCTCTCTCTGTCTCTGTCTCTCTGGCCAGCACACAGACTCCATAGCAAAAAAACCTAAAAAATAAAAACAAAAATCTGTTTACCGATCAATGTTTGATAAGAGACATGGGAGACATAAAAGCTTAGAAGCAGCATGGAAGGAGTCCTCTATTGACGCAGGAATGTGGGGGCAAGGGGTGATCAGGGCCATACTCGCAGTGACACGGGTTCTGTCCCACGCGCAGGAAGAATTAGAGTCACAGACGCAGAGAGTAGGTACGAAGCGGGGAGTCTATTAGCAAAGCTGGGAATTTATTAACAAAGCAGGGAGTTTATTTAAGGAGAGGGAAGGAAAAACAGAGCTCCCAAGAAGGGAGGGGTCCCAGAAAATGGGTTGCCTGGAAGGAGCCCTCTGTCCCAGCAGATCAGTCAGAGATGAAAACAGTGCCAAGGGCTCAGACCCAGGGGGTTGGAGCTGAGGGGACTCTGGAGGTGGCCTGGCCAGAGACTTCCGAGTTCACAGATGCTGTCTGAGGAAACTAAGCCTCAGCCAGAGTCCTGTACCGGAGAATGTGGGAGCCCTCTGGAGCCAAGACCGGGTTCAGCCTCAAAACCACATACTTGGCACCATGTAGGCGCTTGGAAGGTGTGTGTGGACTAAAAACAGGATTTCACGTATGAGCTAGCTTTACGGCTTTCCCGAGACAGTTACCGCACAAGGTTGGGCATTTATAAGGGTCATATAACGCCCATAAACCTTGAGATTCAGAGTCTGTTTATAGGAGTGGCTGTCGTAGGAGCAAAGGCTTCTCGCGGTGCTAGTGAGGAAATGGCTGTGTTTAGGGGAGCGGAGTCAAGGAACTAAAACCGCTGGGATTTCTTGTCAACAGGTCTGTTTGAGGTTCGCGCCCAAGAGTATCTGGAAACACTCCCCAGTGGAGAGCATAGCGGCGTTAACAGGTTCCTGAAGGGATTAGGTAAGGCCCGCTTCTCCATCCTCATCCCCACACTGCCCTTCGTGGAGTCTTGGCCAGTTCCCTCCAGGGCACCCAAGGCATGAGATGCTGGATCCCCATGACAAGGTTCAAGTCCTGAGCCTCCCCCCACCCACCCATAGGGTACTTCCAGCAGAGCATGAAGCCTGCACTGTCAGGCCTGTACTGAAACCTCCAATTCTGATCTATCCCCAGGGAGGGAGTGAAGGATACCAGTCAGCCCTGAGCTGCTCTATCCGGCCACAGGGCTAGCTTGCTGTCTTTTTTTACTACTAGGGAACTATAAAAGGTTCTTGAAAAAATGGAATTAAAGTATGAGTGTACAGGCTGGCAGGTGGCACGGTGGTTAAGGTGCTGGACTTCCACATGACCAACCACAGTTTGAGTCTCATGCAAGGCACAAGTACGTGCATGCCCAAAATCTTGAGAGGAGAATGGAGAAGGGATTGCAGCGTGGCCAGACTTTCTGGGAACTGAGCTTAGGCAGCATGACTGGATCAAAGAAGGGCCTTCGCCAATAAAGGCTTGGACTGGCCTCCAGGTTCCTGGAAAGCAGAGCGGAGGGAGCGTGAGGAGGGCTGGCTCTGTAGCAGCGGGAATGCACTGTGCAAGAGACCAGATACCACATGCAGCTGCAGATCGAATCCCCAGCCCGGTCAGCCTGAAATGTGGTGGACTTGGGCACAAATACCCAAAATCCACTGGGGTGCAGAACTGGAGGAAGGGGCTTACCATGTGAACAAGCTTTGGAGGGTGTTTGTCTCTCTCTTCTTCTCTCTCTTTCTCTCTCTCTCTCTCATGTGCATCATGAATAGGGAGAAAATAAGTTCGGGATGGGGTGAGGAAAGAGGTGTAAGGTCTGCAGTTTAATCAGTCAAAAGGTCCTTAGCGGAGAGCTGGCTCTATTGGCCTGGTGGTTAAAGCAACTGGATCCCACGTGGTCCACTGAGTGTTCAAGTCCTGGACCCAGCAGCTTGAGAAACACGGGGCATGCTTGTAGGGCATGTGTGGTACCCACACTCTCACAAGGAGGGAGAAATGGAAGATTGCAGCATGGCCATCCCCCATGGGGTGCTTTCTACTCTTCTCTGGTGAGGACAGGGGAGCAGGGGAGCAGGGGAGCAGGCCCTGGTAAGCAGGGGCGCTGCTCTTGGGAGAAGTCCTCCTGCCCACCCCTGGCTGGGAGCTCCCTCAGGCTGAATTGGTCTTCCTCTCCAGCTCTGACAGTCTTCCTGCAAATCCCCAAGTCTGAGGAAGAGCCCCCTCATTAGGGCAAGAGCAGGTGTCTGAGCGACTCTAGAAAGGGTGGGCCCCCTTCCACCTCTCCCCCTTTCATCCCTCACGACATCTGGGATGAAAAGGCCAAGATTTCTCTCTCTCCCTGTCTGCCTGGTGAAATGTTCTCACTTTCCCTTTTTAGGCAATAAGATGAAGTTTCTCCACAAGAAATAACGCTTGGTCAGCCTCAAGAGAAAGCGTCCTCTGAGTGTGACCCCATGTTTGAGAGACAGCTCCTGGGGCCTCTCTGCAGGCCAGGGCCTTTGCTGTCCCGGCTGCCAGCCCGGGCTGTCCCGAGGCCCAGGGCTCAGTGCTGCCCGAGGTGCAGCTTCTCCAGGACCTGCCTGGGAAGGGAGTGGGGACCTGGCCGGCCGCCCATATGCAGATGGATCATTTTGGTGGTTGGTTTTCGGATTTTGAGTTTTTTAATTTTAAATATTAAAAAAAGGGAAAGTGCTTGAGTTTCTTTTTATTACGGCAGAGCTAAGAAACCTGCCCTGCCCCACACCATCTTCCCTGGCTCACCCTGTCCAGCTGTGGACCCTGGAGCCAAGAGGAGTGGAGGAAATGGAGCCGCAACCAGAGACCAGGATGACCGAGGGCTCCTCTGGGCAGGACCAGGGACACGCGTGGGATCAGGGACGGGGAGGGCTGGGCGCCGGCACCGCCTGCTGACCTCGGTGCCCCCGGGTTCAGGCACAAATCCTCTGTGAACTGATGGGCCCTCCCTCCGGAATGGGGGCCAGGCGGAACCCCACCTTTAGAGGGCTGTGACTGCCCCATGAGCTGGTCAGTGACGCCACCCAGAGGCCAAGGCCGGGACTCCTATCTCCAGTGGACCTGACTCCGTGACCGCCGCAGGACCGCCCGAGCAGTCGTGGTGCAGAGGCACCAAGACAACTGTCCCCTAAGCTCTCTGAACCACACGGTTTGGGGCTCCTAAAGTTTATGAGGTGCCCAGGGCCCAGCCTGTGTCATCCAGGCCCACCCTTTGACACCCAGGGCCCACCCTCTGACCCACCTTGCAATACCCACGGCCCACCCACGGACACAGAAGGCCCTCCATGGACCCCATTCCCATTTAGTCTGTAAGCAATAGTCCCACCTCGTCCTGGAGTCCCAGGTCAGCACAAATGAAATCGCACGTGTGTGGGCTAAGTGTGAGGGACCTTTGATGGTGGTGGTGATGACACGAGGGAGGGCCGGAACCTTGGGGGCAGCGTCATCGAACTTGTGCCTCCAGAGAGGCAGGTTGCGTCCTCCAGACCAGAAGCAGGAAGGAAACAAGCCGTCCTGCGGGAGGCTGAGAGCCCTGCACAGTACCAGAAGGCCTCGGCAGCTCCTGGCCACCTCATGTGGATCTGCTGCCTGCAGACCCCACTGTTGGGGCCCCTCAGTGTCACCAGTAATCCTGCCTAGGGCAGAGAAGGAACATGCTCTAAGCCCAAGCGGCTGTGCTGCCTGGCTGAGGTCCTTCAGCCATAGGGAGCTGGGAGCAGGGGGGCTTGTGAGGAGAAGAGAAGAGAAGAAAACGAAGAGGAGGTTGGTCTCCCATTCTGTACTAGGGCTCCCTTACTCAGCTGATGTCATGGAACACCCCCTCCACCCCCCCACACACACGTTGTATCCAAGATTTGACATGTTTGTTTTCCGGGGAGAGGATCCAGAGAGGATCCAGTTTACACCAGATTCTCAATACTGTAGGGACCATGCTATGTATAAAACTAACCTGAGCAGGTGTGTATGGTTGGAGGTCTGGGGAAGCCTGGATGGGAATTGGAGAATGGAGGCTCAGGAATTTGTATCTAACAAGCGCCTCAAAATAGTTAACATGATTAATAAGTCTGCGTATTTTTATGTTGCCCAGAAATGATCACTTAATATTTTGGAATATACTTTCTTATCTAACTTATTTTATATTGTTTACTTAATACCTCCAAGTGAATAAATATCCATCTTTATCAGCATTTCTAACGTTTGCAATATTCTACTTAATGAATATACTAAAAGTTAGTTCGCCAATCTGCTACTCTTTTCTTTTTTTTTAATGCCAGAGGGTGTGTGTGTTCACCAGAGAGAAGGCGAGCACCCCTACTAGGACGCGGTCCTGCCACAGCCCTTTTCCTCCATCCTCCGTCCAATCAGGATCGGGGACACACATGCACACGCACCTGGTGTGTTTTCCAATCCACCAGGGCCAGGACTCAAACCATGGCCAGCCATGTGGGCTGTGATTGCCTCTGCGCAGGGCCTACCCACTGTGCTCCAGGCCCGGCCCTGGAGTGCAGTACCTTAACCACCATGCCACCTGCTGGCCCCGGGTATTTCCAAGTTTTAATATCAAAAAGAGCATTGAGAGGGCCAGCAGGAGGCATAGTGGTTAAAGCCACTGGATTCCCACATGGCCAACTGCAGTTCCAGTCCTGGATCTGGGGCTGGCTTTCTCACTTTCTCTCTCTGTCTCTCTCGCATCAAACTAAAAAATAATAATAATAAAATAATAAAAAATAAAGTTAAATAAAATAGTTCTTTAAAAAAATAAGCTTGTGAAAAGTTTCTTAGTACAGATAGCATGATTGCTCCCCTTTCAGTTTGGTTTTTGTTTGAAGTGAAACATACAGAAGAATGCACACAGAGGAGACAGACAGTGGCTCCGCAGAAAAACACTGCACTCTGCGAGGCAAGACCACATGAGAAGGTTCCCAGTTAAGAGTCCAGGGACCTGAGTACACTGGTCACGCACCTATCTATGACCCAGGGCTGGCTGAGGCTGGGGTGGATTGTGGCATCAGGACTTCTTTGGGAATGTGGTCTCTCAGTCGCTCCTGCTCATGGAATGAATAAATAAACAAAAATGCATGCATAGATTACGGGTATGTAGTTGTTCACGAACAACCACAGCCATGTAGCAGATCAACGAGTCATTATTAGAACCCTGGAAGCCCCCAGCCCCCGCCCATTTCTCCCATCCCACTCTGCATTAGAGGGGGCTTCAAAAAGTCCAGGCAGCTGCTTATTTCCGGTATCAACGAAGCCAGGAAAATATATTCTGTATGGGCCAGCAGGTGGTGTGGTGTTTAAGGCACTGGGCTCCCACATGGCTGGCCACAGTTTGAGAATCACACAAGGCACATGTGCATTCATGCCCAAAACCCCTGGAGGAAAAGAGGAGAGGCTGATTGCATAGTTGAGTCCTGGACCCAGTGGACTGAAAAGTACACCAGGCACTTAGGGGTGTCTGTGTGTGTGTGTGTGTGTGTGTGTGTGTGTGTGTACGCGCACACGCATGCACATATAAAATCCCAAATGAAGGGAAAAATAGAGAAGAGATTGCAGTGTGATCCTTATCTCTGCAGGGAGTGCTATTTCACTTTCTCTACATCATTCTCCAGTAAGCACACATACCCTCTATCAGCAAACTGTTTTTTCAGATTTTTGCCATAGGGTGCATGTGCTCACCAGAGACAGAGAAAGAGAAAATGAGAAATCACTCTTCAAGGGGGATGACCATGCCACAATCACTTCTCCATTCTCCTCTCCAGATTTTGGGCACTCGTGCCTGTGCCAGTGTGATTTTCAAGCTGATGGGTCCAGGACTCGAACTACGATCAACCATGAGGGAGCCCAGCTGCCTTAACCACCATGACACCTGCTGGCCCCAAAGCAGCAAACTTGAAAACAGGGAAACTATAAATGTCAAGGCCTCTAAACTTTTATCAAAGACACATCTTGCTGTAACTCTACCATTTACAATTGTCCATTTGATAAGACAAGTACAGTTGCTCTTATAAAAGAGGTTGAGCTGGCCAATGGCATGGTGGTTAAGGCACTGGACTCCTACATGGCTGACAGTGGTTCAAGTCCCAGACCCAGTAGCTTGAAAATCATGCCAGTGCATCCAGTATGACTTTTAAGCTGCTGAGTCCAGGACTTGAACCATGGTCAACTACGTAAGAGTCCAATGATGTAAGCATTATGCTATCTGCTGGCCTCACCAAATATATAAATATATATATATATATGTATATATTTTGGAGAGGGTTTCGCTATAGGGCGCGTGTGCCTGCCAGACAGACAGCGAGAGACAGAGAAACAGACAGCGAGAAATCACCCCCCAGGGGGGATGGCCACACCACAATCCCTTCTCCTCCATCCTCCTCTCGGGATCTTGGGCACGCACGCACATGCACTCGGCGTGAGTTTTAAGCCACCGGGTCCGGGACGCAAACCGCGTTCAACTACGTGGGAGTCCAGCGACATAGCCATTACGCTAACTGCTGGTCCCACCACCAAATATTTTTAAAAGGCTAAATAACCTTCATTGATTTAAAACTGATAGCCCTGGGACCAGCAGGTGGCATGGTAATTAAGGTGCTGGACTCCCACATGTCTAACTCCCACATGTTCAATTCCTGGACCCAGCAACATGAAAATCACTCAGGGCCCTTGTGTATGTGTTCAAAATCCCAGGAGAATGGAGGAGAAGGGATTTTGTGGCATGGCCATTCCCCTGGGAGATGAGTTCTCACTTTCCCTCTCACTGTCTTTCTCTGTCTCTCTTACAGGGGGGTGGGAGTGGAGGGATGGGGGGATGGTGACGGGAAGGTGGATAGGGAGGAGACAGCCGTAGTACCTTTAGTTGAGAGTTCGCCAAGCGTCCTTAAACATTTCAGGACTGTCTTGTTCAGTGACCCACTTCTTCAGGTGGCTGATGGCCTCCCTTACTTGAGAGTCTCCCTTGTATTTCTCCATGGAGAGGAATCTCAGACCCAGGTTTTAGAAATGAGTCCCTGCGCCCCCATGCCCTGAGTCCAGCATCACCTAAAAGCTTCTAAGACGCCTGAGGACATCCGGGAGGCCACGTCCCTCTGAGCAGATCCCGTGTGGGGAACGGGTGTCTCTAAGAAGGTTCCCTGGCTCTAGCTATCTTGCACGGGCCTGAACAGCAAGCTCCAGGCGGTGAAAGACAAGCTCCAGGTTCCTGAGAAGTTGCACTACGAGGGTGCACGGGGTGCCTGGGCAGGAGCTGGAGGCTCAGGCTCACTGGGCCCTCAGGGGAGCTGCTGTGAGCCCAGGTTCCTGACCTGGTGGGTGAGCGGGGCTGTGGGGCAGAGGAGGAAGGGAGCCTCCAGGCCTGAGCACAGGCGAGTGAGGTAAGCCCAGGGCAGGTGGGCCCCCGCTAAGGCCAACGAGCTCCACAGCATGGCCCAGTCAGTGACCACGCCTCGCCCTCACCCAAGGCCAACGAGCTCCACAGCACGGCCCAACCAGTGACCCGGCCTCACCCTTGCCCCCGCGCCCCTGGGTGGGGCTCGGCTCCAACCTCTGACTGCCTTCTGCTTGTGAGCAACAGAGGCTGGTCCCAGCCCCCCAGCAACAGGCCAGAGCGAATGGTCCCCTCCCTCCTCCCTGTGCCCTCACATCCTGAACCCAGTCCTAGGGC